GTACTTAGCTTGTTCTCAATCGGCAGCAAGTTAGACCTTTCCTAAAGCACACTTTTGTGGAGGGGAGTTCCGTTGAGATAAACTTCTATTCACCATAACAACCGATGTCATAACTAATATCGGAGTAAGTTATCAGTAATTATTAAATAATAAACTCTATTTTATCTTATTAAAGTGGGTTGACCCACTCGTCGTCGCAACTTGGTCTTGTTGTCATGGCGACTATGTAGAACGCACCTTGTCCGAAGTCGTCTGCCATAGTAGTTGTCATGACTCCCAGCATCCGAAAATGGAATTGGTACATTCTCAGACATTTCGTCGGCATCGTAGTTGGTATCATCAGTCAATTTTTATCATTCTTCACACCAACTTACGAACTTGTCAAAGAGACAAGTCAAGTCACTTCCTCGACAACACGTTTTGCCGAAAATGGTTACACTATCACTCCTCTTTCTGTCCTGGTCTATCTATCTACTCTTTACACTCTTGAGAATGTATCAAGTCCACTGTCTGATGCTGGGAATCATGACAACTAACATGGCGTTCTACTAAGTCGCCCTGACAACAAGATCAAGTTGCGACAACGAGGTCAACCCACTTTTATACATCGAAAGGAGAATGCGACCATACCAAAAGCCACAACATCTTCGTCTTTATATATTCTATTTTATCTTATTTGGTGATTATAAAATGAGGCTTTAACTGCGGCTCACTTATAAATCTCATCCCAACAACTGTTCTTTCGAAATGAATGTCAGCGACTTCAAATTAGGCTATTGCTTCGTCCACCCGGCAGCTCGACTTATAAAAGACCCACAGACCTGGCTAAAAATGTTTTATTTTCTCGAGTCCAGGGTTCGCGTCCAGGGCTCGAGTCCCCCCGAAATGACTTTTGAGGCAAGAGTCCATTTGAAGTCAACTGGTACCGCCTTGATGTAGGCACGATGGCAAAAACCACTTGCTCGCGTGATTCGCCGCGGCCTCGTCGGTCAGAAGAGCCACAAACTGGTCTTGAGCAAGTGGAAGATTCATGTAATTTCGGAAATGATGAACTTTTGTGCTGTTCCATCGAAATCGCGACTTCCAGACCGTTCCCATTTTACAGTTGAATGTAAAAGTGGCATAAAAGGCATTATTGTGACGGTTATAAAAAATGTATACCATTTACTTTTGCTACGATCTTGTTTTCGCAACTTGGTCGAAGCGTCAGCGAGATCGTGCCGAACGTAACTGGTCCCATGTCCTCTGCCAGAGAATTCGGGATTCCCAGCATTGGTCCATTGACTTGGTACATTACAAGTCATGTACTTTGAGAATGTAGCGAGTCAATGGTTCACTGTTGGGAATGACAAATACTCTGGACCAGATACGTTCCACAAGATCTTCGTGACGCTCCGATTAAGTTGCGAAAGCAAGATCGGATCAACACTTTAAAGCTAAAGGAGACTGTGGTCAGACAAAAGGACACACCCTTTTGGTTTTCATAACTACCAACTTGAAATATTTAATATATGAAGACCAAGATGTTGTGGCCTCTGTTTCGGCAGAACGGTTGTCGAGGCATTGACTTGACTTGTCTCTTTGACGAGTTCGTAGGTTGGTGTGGAGAATGATGACAATTGACTGATGATGACGTTTGAGAATGTACCAACTCGACTGTCTGATGCTGGGAATCATGACAATTACAATGGCAGACGACTTCGGACTTGGTGCGCTCTACATAGTCGCCCTGACAACAAGACCAAGTTGCGACAACGAGGTCAACCAACTTTTAAAATATTTAGTTGAATACTGAAATTTGAACTTGGAACGGCAAAAAATAGTCTTTCTAAAGTGGAAGCATTTCAGGTAGAATAGTTTAACACACTTATGCCACAAATTAACTGCAATCCACATTATGCACAGGCTCATTACATTGTTGTGTTATGCTTGTTAGAACTGTTATATGATAATAAATTAACCTAAAAAAAATGAAAAATAACCAAATAATAATCTTTGTAATAATGTAAACTTTCAACACTTTTAGTGCTGTCATGTCCCAAGTTAACACTAGGCCAAAAATAATATCCAGTCACATCCTAGATAAAAACGAACATGTATTACTGGTGATATATATATGCTGGTAGTATCGA